TTTCGCCCGTGTTATTTTCACCCTATTGAATTTGTAAATAATTTTGCCCCGTTTTAAATTTGCCCAGTCATAGTTCTGTTTAAGAAAATTATACTGTGTAATTTGAATTCACCCCCTTTTTAAATTCGCCCAATGAAGGAGAGGGCAAAAGGGGTGAAAATAAAACGGGAGCGAAAATTTCCCTGTATACAGTATTCAATGCCATTTAAAATATAGGCTACACTGTATAATCTAAAATTTATTCGGACCAATAGAATATGCTTCGGACTGGTAGAACGCATTAAGTCATCAGTCCGAATGACTGAAAGAAATATCTGGTTTTCGGAAACTCTGAAACCTAAAATGCACCAAATGACAAAATTTGATGATTCTAAACCAATTAGTACCTGAGATACATAAAACTAGCCATAAAATGTCAAAAGTAGGTCACTAAGACCTACTTTTTGGTCGACATGCTCCAAAAACCCAAGATGCAGCTAATGACCAGGTTTGAGGATTCTAAGCCAATAAGTACCTGAGATACTAAAATATAGCCATAAAATGTCAAAAGTAGGTCACCGTGACCTACTTTTTGTTCGTTAATGTCAGAAAACCCAAGATGCATCAACTGACAAATTTTATTGATTCTAAGCCAATAAGTACCCGAGATACTTAAATCTAGCCATAAAATGTCGAAAGTAGGTCACAGTGACCTACTTTTTGGTCGACATTTTCTGAAGACCAAAGATGCATCAACTGACAAAATTTGATGATCATAGGTCTAATAGTATTCAAAATATGCCTTTTAAACGATTTGAAAACAAATGCCTGCAAAGTTCAAAAAGTAGGTCACAGTGACCTACTTTTTATAAATATAACTTACAAGATTTGGTGATTCTAAACCTCTCGGTGTCTGAAATAATGGGATTAAATGTTTTAGAAAAGATTAGCCATAGAATTCAAAAAGTAGGTCATGATGACCTACTCTTAAGTTGATGTTGTTTGTGGACCCAAGATGCACAAACTGACAAAGTTTTATGATTATAATAGGCCTTAAAGTGTCCAAAATATGCCTCCAAATCAATTTGAAAACAAAACCCCTTAAAACTTTAAAAATAGGTCACCGTGGCCTACTTTTGCATTAACATGATGTCAAGTCCTGATATGCATCAACTTACAAGATTTGATGATCCTAGTCTTTATAGTAAGCAAAATATCAACGTTTTTAATAAGAGTAAATTTTGGTCAACTTTGAAGTGACCTTGAGACCACGCCCTTTACCCAGGGTCATGCCTGGAACAATTCTTAATCTTCAACATATCTTGACCCTTGTATGCAAGTTTGGTGAAAATCCACAGTTAGAATACCACCCATATACTCCAAGTGTAGCAAAAAAATTGCAGAATCGCTCCAAAATGACTTTGAAGGATACATACGGATTTGCACTGAAAATAACTTATAAATTAATCAAAACAAACCTTTTTGCGTAAGTATTTAAACCAAAAGTTTAGTCTAAATAAAGACGAAAATTTAACTAATTTTCTCAACGTTTTTTCTCGCTTCAAATTTACATGCCATGTTTACGTTCGGAACTCTCTTGATTGTTCATAGTAAATGCACTAGTACGAGTTATCGCCCGTGTTTAATTTGCTACATTGTGAATACACGGAACGCATTCTATCGTTAAACCAGATCCTTAGGACATGTATCATTTTAACGATAGAACATTCTATCTACAAACTGAGCTACCATGAACGGTATATATACAAATAAACAAACTTGGAAAAAAACCTTGAATGTATTTACATCATCAGTTGTTAAAAGTTTAAACAAAATGAAGTAAGCTTTCAATTCATTTCAGCATTGAATGCACATACAATGTAGTTAAATGTCCATGCTGTAGTATATCTTGGATAATACATGTATTTTTTCCTTCAATGACTTTCAACTCAATACTGTACAGATAATTGAACTCCCTATATTCATTCAAATACACCTGAAAAGGGGATTGTCAAACCTAAATGAGGTTTGTCTGCTAAGTGTTGCTACGATGATGAATTTTTAATTGGTAAGACTGTCGATTTTAGACTATTGATCTTAACAATCGATTATAATCGGTATATTAAATCACATATCTTTTTATTGTTTTCTCACTTTATTACAAGAAAATGCTTTAGCAGTCAATTTTTATCCTTCATATATCATCGAAATGAAATTTCGTAAACTATGTAGAGGGGAAAGTGCCGATTTTTGGACCTAAATTGGGAAAGAAAAATAACTGCACTGTGTCAAGTGATCAATTCCCACCATTAGACGGTGATCATTTTTTGGAGCATAAGTAAAAGGACATAGGAGTACTCTGTAAGCCTCTATAAACATTTCCATTACATGTAAAATTGTATTCGATTATAAGTTAAAAGGCCTTCATTATCATAAATGTAAACAAGAGGCCCATGGGCCACATCGCTCACCTAACAACTGTGGCAAGGAAAATGTAGAAAATCAAAAAGTTTAAATCCAAAAGTAGTCCCATGACCAATCATGGCTTTGCTATTCTTGAGAGTAGATTTTTAAAGAATTTTCCTGTATATTTCTAAGTAAAATTTTTGTCGGCCATTGTGGCCCCGCCCTACCCCCGGGAGTCATGGTTTGAACAAACTTAAATCGACACTTTTTACCTGAGGATATTTCCCCATAAGTTTCAACTTTCCTTGCACAGTGGTTCTTGAGAAGAAGATTTTTAACAAACTCTGAATTTACACTAATTGAGGATACTTCCATATAAATATGATCAATTATTGCTTCGCTATTCTTAAGAAGAAGATTTTTTTTTAAAAATCCTATATATTTCTATGTTAAAATTTGGTCGGCCATTATGGCCCCGCCCTAACCCCGGGGGTCATGATTTGAATAAACTTGAATCTACACTACCTGAGGATGCTTCCATATAAATGATTAATTATAGCTTTGTTATTCTTAAGAAGATTTTTTTAAAAGAATTTTCCTATATTTTTCTATGTAAAACTCTGGTTGGCAATTGTGGCCCCGCCCTAACCCCCGGGATCATGATTTGAACAAATTTAAATTTACACTACCTGAGGATATTTCAACAAAAGTTTCATCTTTCCTGGCACAGTGGTTCTTGAGAAGATTTTTTAAACAAGAAGCCCCAGGGCCACATCGCTCACCAGAGTAACTTGGGTGAAGTAGTTCTTTAGCAGATTCCTCTTGTGCTATACCTATCGTCCCCCTACCCCCTCCCCTTTCATTATTTTAATACTTTAGAATCTACACTACCCAAGGAGGCTTCCTTGCCCAGTGGTTCTTGAGAAGAAAATTTTGAAAGATTCGTTCTATACATTTCTATGTATTCCCTATTGTGGCCCGCCCTACCCCTGGGGTTCATGATTTTTAAAATTTGATATCTACACTTCCCAAGGAGGCTTTCACATAAGTTTCAGTTTTCCTGGCCCAGTTGATCTTGAGAAGAAGATTTTTGTTCTATATACTTCTATGTAAAACTTGGATTCCCTATTGTGGCCCCGCCCTACCCCCCGGGGTCATGATTTTTAAAATTTAATATCTACACTTAACATGGATGCTTCCACATAAGTTTCAGCTTTTCTGGCCCTGTGGTTCTTGAGGAGAAGATTTTTAAAGATTTGTTCTATACATTTCTATGTAAAACTTGGATTCTCTATTGTGCCCCCCCCCCCCCCCACCTCTGGGGTTTATGATTTTAACAATTTGATATCTACACTTCCCAAGGAGGCTTCCACATAAGTTTCAGTTTTCCTGGCATAGTGGTTCTTGAGAAGAAGATTTTTGTTTTATATATTTCTATGCAAAACTTAATTCCCCTATTGTGGCCCCGCCCTACCCCCGGAGGTAATGATTTTTACAATTTGATATCTACACCACCCAAAGATGCTTAACATCAGTTTCAGCTTTCCTGGTCCAGTGGTTCTTGAGAAGAAGATTATTAAAGATGTCTTCTTTACATTTCTATGTAAAATTTGGATTCCATATTGTGGCCCTGCCCTACCCCTGGGGGTCATGATTTTTACAATTTAATATATACACTACCCAAGGATGCTTCAACATAAGTTTCAGCTTTCCTGGTCCAGTGGTTCTTGAGAAGAAGATTTTTAAAGATTTGTTCTATATATTTCTATGTAAAACTTGGATTCCCTATTGTGGCCCCGCCCTACCCCAGGGGGTCATGATTTTAACAATTTTATATCTACAATACCCAAGGATTGCTTCTACATAAGTTTCAACTTTCCTGGCCCAGTGGTTCTTGAGAAGAAGATTTTTTAATGACCCCAGTCTATTTTTGTCTTTTCTTGATTGCCTCCCCTTGGAAGGGGACTTGGCCTCTCATTTTAACAATTGAAACTCCTCTTCACCCAAGGATACTTTGTATTAAGTTTGGTTAAATTTGGTCTACTGGTTCTTGAGAAGAAGTCGAAAATGTGAAAATTTTACAGACGGACGGATAGATGGACAGACAGACGGACGACAGACAAAATGTGATCAGAAAAGTTCACTTGAGCCTTCAGCTCAGGTGAGCTAAAAATACCATCAAATTTTCATTAATTCCCAGTTATCTCCCCTTGAATGAGGGCGTGGCCCTTCATTTGAACAAACAAATCCCTTCACCCAAGGATACTTTGTGGCAAATTTGGTCGAAATTGGCCCATTGGTTCTTGAGAAGAAGTCGAAAATGTGAAAAGCTTACAGACAGACAGAAAGACAGACAGCTAGACGGACATACGGACGGGTAGACAGACGGACGCCGGACAAAATGTGATCAGAAAAGCTCACTTGAGCCTTCAGCTCAGGTGAGCTAAAAAAGGTCATTTACATAACTTAAGGGGGGTGATTTCTGACCTTGAACTTGTTAAAGTGGCCATGGGTCAAGGTCAAAACATACGATCATTGTGCCTAGTAAACATTTCTAGTGTTTCACCATAATATTTGGTCTGAACATAAATTTTAAAATATATTCAAACTCATACCCCCTATCCTGTGAATGCTGTCAAACAATTCTTTTATCTTTCTAAGTTGATGTCTGCTGTGATCCTCAGAGCTGGTACACTCCACACACAAGGGAACACCACACGGGGTACAGAACTGGTCCAGGGGAATTCTGGGATGTTTTCTACATTTGATGTTCTCCAGGGGGACTCCTGTTGGAAGTAAAAAGTTTTATGATTTAAAGAATTAATCAATGCTGATAAATCACCACAGAGAAAAGGCATTTTGTTACTTTTTTTAATTACAAAGTCCCAATATTCATGATATTGGAATAGTAAAAATGTTTTATTGAGTCCAGAAAATATTTCAGAAATAAATCTAGATATTATATGTATTTACATTCATTAAAAAAACTATATGTTATTATATTCCAAAATATACAGATTAAGAACATTTGTCAATTGTTGTGATAAAACATCATTGATCTATGATCTAAAATTATTATGTATAGGAATTTATTGTTTGCAATATATTGGCCTATAAGCATGATAAGAATACATGAAAACAATATAAAGATATCATCAATTATCAAATGTCATTGATAACTGCTATCAATATTTGAGAGGGGCGGGCGAAGATGGGAATCTAAAGATTAATTTTATCTGGACTTATCAAATCATTTGCTCATGAATAGTTTAGATGCAGTCTAAATGGTTTAAGTGTTCAAAAGTTTAAGTTCTGTCATATCTGACATCACAATAATGAAAAAAATTACTGACATAATTTGAACTAGAACAGTCATATCATATATAACCCCCCGAACCACTATACCCCCCCCCCCCCACCCTACCTCCAGTCCGTTATGTCCCAACACTTAATTGTGAGTGCATTTGTAATTATAAACCACAGAAATCAATCCTACATGTTTCTGCACGTGACCTTCAATGCTTATAACTGTGTACAAATGATACAGTAGCACTTTTGATGCATTATCAACTAAGGGCTTCCAAAATACATGTCATTGGAATACACAGGGTTACAAATTAACAGAATGAATGAAATGATGAATATACAAGTATTTCCTCCTTCGCCATCTCTTGTACTTACATTTGATACAGGCAGTTAATAATAAAATGATATTTCTAGTTCCATGAACAAACTATTCTGAAACAAGGCAGGAGGCAAATTTTTTTTTCCCAAGAATTATTTTTACACCTTTATAATGAAAAGGGGGGTAACTTGATTTTCTTCTTCACCTTCAAATACAAAATTGGGTTATCTCCCCTTTCATTAGCAAGTTTCTAAAATTGATCAATGCAGATGCACTCAGGCGTATTCTGTGGTGTCTAAAAAATATTTTTTGTTAATAAAGTTGAAATGAATCTTTAACTTTATTATGGATTTTAAGCTTTAATATTGTTTGGTTATTTCCATATTTCATCTAGAACTTGCTAACTACACAAAACGTCACTCCAGTACACAGTGTAGATTTAACGAACACCTGCTACAGAAATACACAACAATTGAACATTCTTAGAGACAGCTGTATTAATATCACTGGTGTCTATATCTACATGTAACTGTCAACATTAACACAAAATCTCATCTGTTTTGAATGTAGAATTTACTTAAACTGAATACATTATAAAAGAATATTGTATAAATAATTATAAAATATTTTAAAATTTAATCACTAACTACTTCTCAAAAAATTATCATACTACACTAATTGTATTTATCGAACAAAAGAACACAAGATTTCAAAAGTTGGTAATTATTCACCATTGACAGTATATCTGATGTATATTGTACAAAACTCTATGAACCAAACACCAATGAGCAGTAATCTGTGATTGAAGAACTACACACAACACATGGACCAGCGATTTTTTTCCACCAATTGGGAATGGGTCCGATACCGGTTCAATTGGGAAAAATAACATCGAAGAAAAACAGGCGAATTTTCTCTCATTTATGCAAATGCAATGTATATTGCGTTTATTCTAAATTAATTACCTATTACTTCTTGTTTTAAAGAATAAGCAACAAGTACTTATTGTTTTTTATATCAACGTCCCATGCTTTGATTTATCATGCTTTCAATTTGTCAAAATGTATGACACTACGTTGTCTAAACCCCTGCTCCTGCCAAATTACGACTTTCTCTACTTTCGATTTAAGCGGAAGTGATCAATTAGTCAACTTGTACAATGTTTCATTTAACAAGAAATACGATGTTGTCGTAGTCTGTTGCATCACAGTTGAATTGGGAATTTTTAGTCACAGAATTGGGAAAAATTAACGTTTTTTGGCATTGGGAACGGTGCCGTTTATCGGTACTAGTTATATAAGGAAAAAAAACGCTGTGGACACTATACAATTAATGATGAACAGGATGTAAATCTATCACTTCTTTTTAATCTTTTTATCATGTTTGTATTCATAAACTTTATCTTTACCATCTCATGTTTGTTGTTTAACATATTGATTAATCATTTGTGATTAAACTTAAACACTCGTCTGGTAAAAAAACACTTGAATATATACATGTACATGTACTCGTACAGTAACTAGTTATTCTTAAATAACCCCCCTAACATAATGGGGTTTTAATTAGTATAAGTATTATAATTATAAAATACAATCAAACAATCTACAATATTACTTACCAGTCAGAGAGTCTGTATCTACCACTCTGTATAGGTTGACTCTGTTGTCCCAGTATGACCCTACCCACAGTGTGTGAGTGTCCTCATCATAACTCAGGCCCTGTGGTCTGTCTATCCCGTGTTGTCGTGTCTGTATCTCTGTCAGATAGTGACCGTCACTATCTAACATCTGTACTGACTCTGTGATATAATCACACACCAGGATGTGTGACAGCGCGTCAGTACAGATTCCCCATGGATGTAGTCCTGATCCTGGTGGAGGACCTCTGTAGGAGAATCGGTAATTACCGTCACGATCTGTCACCACTACAGCACCACGGTCCACGTCAGACACAATAACATCTCCATTGCGGTTCTCTGTGATGTAGATAGGTCTATTATACAGTCCCTGACCTGTGATGTTGTCGTGCTGTATGGTCTGGATGTTTTCTCCTGTGGAGTTATACCGCACTACCTTGCCTGTCACTGTATCACGTCTATACATCCCGACCAGCAGGTCTCCAGTGGAGGGGGAGCTGTAGACACTCTGTGGTTCCCATGGTGATGTGTTGTACTTTATTATTGTAGTCTTTTCTTTATTCTCTGTAGACAGTTTATTGATGTTATAACTACTGTCTATATAAATTAGATCACCGTTAGAATTCACACTGTGTCCTCCCAGATCACTACGTATATCTGTCACATGATCTAGTTCTTCTCCTTTTGTGTTTGTCAGTATAAGATTGCCTATATTATCACTGATCCAGAGCCGGTCTGATGTAACACGGGAAATGTGACTACACCCTCTAACACCAGACACGGTGACAGATTTCTGGTACACTAATCTATACATTATTTACAGCAGACATCTATTTCTTTATCCTGAGGTTTTATAACAGAATCCCGTGTGGATTTCCTCAGTCAGGGAGATCTCTCTGTAAATTACAACAGTGTACTAAAATTATCTACATCAGTTACACATCTCTCTTTATACTGTAAGCATTTATCAATGTCTTAGGTTTAATAACATGAATATTGAATTAAGATCCAGATAAAAATAAATACCTTTACACTGGGTACTGAATCCTTTACAAATCTCTCTCTTTTGCAGGGTCCAACTGTTCACCATTAGTCCAATCTAAATAATCAATATTGATAAATTGAAACATTCTTGAAAACTGATTAAGGTTTTGACTTCTTAGAAAAGTATAATATGAACTCATTTGAAATATTACATGTCAACTTTTCCAGTAGGATTCAACAACTTCACAGCACACTCAAACATTATAATTTATATTTTCTTTCTACAGTGTGTTGTGACATGGTTATAAATAGTAACAGAGAATTGTATACCATTACCACACTGATTTCTTGTATCTGGAAAAAACTGTATAGTCTCCATTCATCTTGTTACTGCATTCTAGGTAAAGAAAATAAAGAATATATTATTATTCACCATTATTACAAAACATACATCTCTCCAGTTTATTTATTTAAATAAGAGAAAATTGTGTCTTCATTTTGAAATTACAAAATTCGAATGAGAGCTTTTATAAGGATTGATTGTTTGGTTTTAGTAATATTTATTTAAAACATGTAAAAATTGCATACTGCATATGTACATCTATAAATATACTGCATGTACATACAGTGCTGTACATGTATATGTAGAACATGTGTAGTATTCTGTATGAGTGTTATAGTTTTTCCCCCACATATACATGGGCATAGGAAGCAAATTGAAAGTGAAGGGGGGGGGGGGGGGGGGCGTAACCCAACAAAAAAGGTAAATCCCAACTCTCAATGCCTATAAAATGTCTAATTTTGCAAAAAACATAGGAAGAGGGGGGACTCCCCACCCCCCTCCGATTCCGACGCCTATGCATATTATATATTGTTAGTATCTCCAATCATTCATAAACATTTTACAGCGATTAAAAATTTGACTTCAGTCTAAATCTGTCTCATGAATCTGGAACCAGAACCCCTTACCCAGGGACAAGGAAATTCACAATTTTGGAAGAGCCATATTTTTTTTAATCATTTAAGTATTTTTAAGGGATGGCAATCAAATGCAGAATTCCTAATCGATTAATCTTTTGAAAAATGCTGATTTTCAACCCTATGTGCAGCGATTTCATTTTTTAAAGTAAATTTAAAGAAAATTTTGTTCAATTTTATTTTTTCCGACAAACCAATTACAAATTTTATAACTTATTTCCATTATTCAGACCAAATAATTGGTTAACCTGTTTCAAATTGCCATCGCTAGTATGTATGTAGTAATTAGTTTGTTTGATACCCAGGGGCAGAGAAAAAAGATTTTCAAAGAAGTTATGCATTTTCACTATATACAACTGTAATAAATATAACAAACCCCTAACACCAGAATTCCTCATTCTGGGACCATGAAATTCAAAATTTTATACATGTTATAAGAGACACCTTTCATCATTGTAAATACATGTATGTACGTAGTTTGTTTAACACCCAGGGACAGAGAAAACAGATTTTGAAAGAATTAATCCATTTTCATTAGATAATCAAAAGAGCCCTGCCCTAACACCAGAACCCCTGACCCAGGGGCCATGAGTTTCAAAATTTTGGTAGACTGAATTTTTATTACAATCATGCAAAAAGTTTGACTGCTTGAGGGCTATGATTAAAGGAGAAGATTTTTCTAGATTGAATTAATATTAGTAGTTTTGGCCCCACCCCTCAGGTTCCGGGGGGCGGGGGCATGAAATTCACAACTTTTGTTACCCTTCACTCATAAATTATGCTATATGCAAAATTTGGCTGAAATTGGTTCAATGATTCCAGAGAAGCTAAAAATGTTCATAAGATCATAAGATTACACTCAACAAACGACATACGACAATGGACAAAAACAGATAGCAATAGGTCACCTGAGTTACTCGTGTGAGGAGGGGGGCATAAAACTTAGATGAGCTCACTTTTGATCTCAGTCTCACTTTTCAACTAAATATTCTTTTAGTAAGAGTGAGATTCACTGAGATCAAAAGAGAAGTTGTCTAAGTTTTATGACCCCCATGGTCTGGTGATAAGACAAGAGGCCCATGGGCCACATCGCTCACCTGAGAAGCTTTGACCATGTTATTCTTAACCCGAATTCCCCCTTAGTTCTTGATAAGAAGATTTTGAAAGATTTTTCTTATATATTTCTATGTAAAACTTTGATTCTCTACTGTGGCCCGCCCAACCCCCGGGGGGTCATGATTTGAACAATTTAGAATTTATACTACCCCTGGATGCGTCCACATAAGTTTCAGCTTTTCTTGCCCAGTCAGTGGTTCTTGAGAAGAAGATTTTGAAAGATTTTTCCTAGATATTTCTGTGTAAGACATTGATTCCTATTGTGGCCCTGCCCAACCTCCAGGGGTCATCATTTGAACAATTTCAAATCTACACTTCACCAGGATGCTTCCACATAAGTTTCAGCTTTTCTGGCCCTGTAGTTCTTTAGAAGGAAATTTTGAGAAAGATTTTTTCTATATATTTCTATGTAAAACTTTGATTCTCTATTGTGACCCGCCCAAACCCTGGGGGTCATGATTTAAAAAATTTAGAGTCTACACTACCCCAGGATGCTTCCCCATAAGTTTCAGCTTTTCTGGACCTGTGGTTCTTGACAAAAAGATTTTGAAAGATTTTTCCTATACATTTCTATGTAAACTTTGATTCCCAATTGTGGCCCCGCCCAAACCCCGGGGGTCATGATTTGAACAATTTACAATCTATACTACTCCAGGATGCTTCCAAATAAGTTTCAACTTTTCTGGCCCAGTGGTTCATGAGAAGATTTTTAATGACCCGAGCCTATCTTTGTCTCTTTTTGATTATCTCCCCTTGGCCCAGCGGTTCTTGAGAAGTTGAAAATGTAAAAGTTTACAGACGGACAGTAGACGGACGGATGGATAACAGACAAAATATGATTAGAACTCACAGAGTTTTAAGCTCAGGTGAGATGAAATGTGTCAAGTTTACAGAAAGGCATACAGAGAGCATACAGACTATTATCAGAAAAGTTCATGCTCAGGTGAGCTACAATATGTAAAATTATAGACAGACAGAATACAAAATGTGATCAGAAAATCTCACTTAAAATCAGGTTAGCTAAAAATGTTATGAGCAGAAAAGTTCAATATTTTGTAGTTGCATATTGAGTTCATTTTACTCCTGATATTGAGATAATTTTTTTTCTTTTTTTCCCCTCATACTTCACATTCATGAAAAATATAAAAAAAAAAGTTCTTCCCACTTGTGAAATATATCTATCTTTTACATTCAACTAAAAACTTTTAATATTTTTTTAGTTAAAAGAGATATAAAAACCTGTATGAAGATGATGCTTAACTTTCCCTGACAATGGTTGGATAGTACACACTGGGGAATCTGTCAAAATAAATTTAGACTATTTAATACATACAACCTATGTATATATAAATAATGAGTCCCTTAGCTTGTAAAACACCAGAAGTGTTTAAGTTCAAATTATGCTTTCTAAAGATATGTTTATACATACATGTATACAAAACTTGAAGTATATATGTATATGAATACAAGTACAATGTAAATTAATGTTTACAATTGACAAGGGTCAATAAATATACATGTACCCTTGTGAGAGATTTAAAAAGAAACCTGTAAGGAGATGATTCTTTCCTCTTCTAGACAATTGGATAGTAGGATTCTGGGAAATCTGTCAAAATAAATTGAGAAAATTAACCTATATATAAATAATGAAGCCTTGAGCTTGTGAAACACTACAAGGCCAAAAGAAAAAATAGTCTTGTTTCCTGCTACCCAACCTACCCATTTTTTTTTTAACTTTTGGGGAAAAAATTGAAATTGCAGGAATTCTATGTTAAAGTGAAAAAAAAAATAAATTTGAATTGTATTTCAGGACATATATGTTTAAAATATGGACTTTCAGTAAATTTCGTCTTCAGTTGCAACGATTTTTTTCCACGCATTGGGAAAGGGTCCGGTACTGGTTCAATTGGGAAAAATAGCATAGAAGAAAAACAGAATTTTCTCTCATTTATGCAAATGCAACGTATTTTGCGTTTATTCCAATTTAATTACCTATTACTCTTTGTTTGTAAGAATAAGCAACAAGTACTTATTGATTTTTATTTCAACGTCCCATGTTTTCACATTTTCATGCTTTCAATTTATCAAAATGTATGACACTACGCTGTCTAAACCACAGGTCCCGCCAAATTACGACTTTCTCTACTTTTGATTTAAGCGGTAGTGAAACAATTAGTCAACTTGTACAATGTTTCATTTAACAAGAAATACCCTATCGTCGTAGTCTTTTGCATTACAGTTGAATTGGGAATTTTTAGTCATAGAATTGGGAAAAAAATAACGTTTTTTGGCATTGGTGCCGTTTATCGGTACCAGTTATATAAGGAAAAAAACGCTGAGTTGTGCATCTCGACTTAATTGGAACTGCTACAGTGCTACCCAACCTACCCAATATTTTTGCACCACTACCTAAGTTTTTTTTTAGCTTTTGGGGAAAAAAATTGAAATTGCAGGAATTCTATGTTAAAGTGAAAAAAAATGTATATATTCGAAATTGTATTTCATGCCATACCGTATATCCATTTTTTTCGCGATGATCTATTTTTCGCATTTTTGTGACCATTTTTAATTCGCAAAAAATAAAAAGCGCAGAAATTATATCCATTTCATTAAATTTCATTTCATTAAATTCCTTCTGAGTTGTGCATCAAAAGATTTAATTGGAATATCATTTTAAAAGATAATATTGACCTAGCTATGACATGTTTATTTTGATTTTCAGAAAGCGAAAGTAACCTCGGCGTTTCACATTCGAATACGGAATTAGAACATGTTTTTTATCAAATTTATAATTAGCAGTTGTTTCAAATAATGGAAAAACCCCGAGGTAACCGAATGTTTTTTCACTTTCTGTCCATATCAACTGTCCTACAATCTCTCACCAGAGGGCGTTTTACGCGTCCGCTCCAACACCTCTGTTATCATCTAAATTACAAGAATCTTGTAAAACGAAAATAAATTATAAATTGCTACCAACTTGGTAATTTTTAAAAATGAAATTAGAAATATCAATCTGTAGTACTTCTTTTGTTCTTTCAAAATTTGGATATATATTAAAATAGCTTCAATATATACGGCACTATTTTCTTAAGAATTTTTACACATATTTTCATTTTGAAACCTCTGACACAAAGTCAGGAAATATTTACTACCAAAGAGCTTAAAACACGTAACATCATTGAAAAATCACACAAAACAATCAAGGTTTACACAATTTTTGTCGACAAATAATTATATGACAATCCGCGCTACTTTTTAGATGACAACAGAGGTGTAAGCGGAGCGCGCCCTCTAGTGAAAGATTGAACTGTCCTAACGAGCTAGTTTGGATTATTTTAGTCTGAAATGTGTTTTGAAAAGGTTCCAAGGGGGAAATTTCAGCATAAGGTCTTAGAAGAATCATTTCTTGACAGATCCGTGGCGGTGAGTCAGTAAAATACGGCAAAATATAACGAAAACAGAGGTTGAAGCGAGGAAGGGGTCCAAAATGGCGTCCTCCCTTGTGTAGTTTTATTATTACGGTATATGATTTTTTAATGAATAATTATTACACGCCGGGAGCAAGTCCCTGTGGCAAGAGCAATTTATAGCCATAATGTACTTCCTTGTTGACAACTTACAATATATACTCTAGCGTAAACACTGGGTTATGTCTAGGAGATATGACTTTGATTACCAATTATTTCACACTTGTTCCTCCCAAGAATACTGCTTTCAACTGTGACTTTACAAGCTTATAATAATATTAATATAGGCCTAGGCCATACTCTTTTCGACGCCTGCGTCATTTTGGTCTTGACCTTTGGAAATGTCGTATGACAGTATTTTTGTATTTCGATCCCGATATATATTTTTTACCGGTACCTCGAATTACCGAAATGCCCCTGGAAATTTTTTACTTAGCGCTGGTAATGCATATGAATGTTTAAAAGAATGGTATGAAAAAATAATTAACCCCAAACTTAATTTGACTGTAATGTATATGTAGTAGATGTATATTTTATTAAATAATATAATAAATGATAATGAACATGATGAAATAAAATAAATAATAATTATATATATATGATATACAGATATATATTAAGAATAATCTTCTTCAGTAAATAACTGCAGTCTGAACCTTTTTAAGCTTGCCATCAACTGATAAATGATTTAGCTTTCAATCTATTGACTCTGGCCACAGGTGCTCGTGGACAGGATTATCAATACCCCCCCCCCTCCTTTCAATATAAAAAATTCTGATTATTTTTTTATTCTTCATTTCTAATCTCTGACAAATTTATTTAATCTATATGTTTCTATTCTATTTGAAAAGCACAGAAATAAATCAATCATATGCAATTTCTATTCACAGTCGTTTCACGCATATATATAAGAATTGTCTTAATATTAACATTGCAATTAAGTGACTGAGGTTTAAAATACACTTTAAACTCTATGTATACGTGAAACGACTGTGAATAGAAATTTGCATATGATTGATATATTTCTGTGATTTTCAAATAGAAACATATACAATGTAGATTAAATTGTCAGAGATTAGAAATGAAGAAAAAAAATCGGATTTTTGTTATGATTGAAATGGGGAGGGTGGGGGTAGGGATAATCCTGTCCACGAGCACCTGTGACCCTGGCTTCATTTTAAAGTCTCTCTATACAAATGTTTTTTTTTTTATCTATACCTATAAGCAGAAGGTTTACAATCCAAGCGTAACATCCGACAGATATAATTTCATAATTTGTATCTTATCCTAAATCCACAGAAAACAAATATTCTGTTCTGACCATAGGAACATTCATGCAGATCAATTAATTTAGAAGGAGCAGGCAGTCAATGGAACTAAGATCATTCAGCTTGCTGCTGGTGATGTTGTCCGTCCCAAGAAAAGAAAATAGGCCTTAATTGACAATTAGACCGCCCAAGTTTTACATTGAAATATTATGTATATAGGAAAATTAAAAAAAAATCTTCACAAGAACCACTAGACCAGAAAAGCTGAAACTTATGTGGAAGCATCCTGGGGTAGTGTAAAATATAAATTGTTCAAATCATGATCCCCAAGGGCAGGGAGGGGCCATAATATGGAATGAAAGTTTTACATTGAAATGTATGAGAAACAAGAGGCCCATGGACCACATTGCTCACCTGAGTAACTTTGGTGATGCATTTCTTTACCAGATTTCCCCTCTTGCAGGCGCGTAGCATCGTTTTTTGGAAGTGGGGGGGCCAACCTGAGAAAACTTTTTTTACTTACCTGAAAAAGTTGACAAGCAAAAAGAAAAAAAAAACAAAGGAAAAATTAAAAGTTGCCCGAAGTCGAAAATCCTATTTCGTGGGGGGGGGGGGGGGGGGGGGGGTAGTGGCTAACTTTTTTCAAGACCAACTATCTTTTAATTCAAACTTTTTGGGGTAAATTTTCTTTCTAACACTACCCTTTGCTGAAATGTGGGGGGGGGGGGGGCAACATTCCTTTCAGTAAACATTTTATATATTACAGGTAATGTCGGCAGAAAAAGTGGGGGGGCCTGGCCCCCCTGATACTACGCCCCTGTCTTGTTATATACTAGTATTACCTATTGTTTCCCGTTCTTCCTCCCCTGTCAGGATTTTAAGGTATTAGAATTTACACTACTCTAGGTTGTATCATCAATGCAAGTTTGATCCTGGTAGCTCTTATAGTTACTTGGGAATGAACATGCTCCAAAAACTTTAACCTGGTCACTCATCACATGGAAAATGTAAGTCAGATCCAGCAATCGAAGCATGTCTGGTAGTATCAATCCCTAGATGCATGCAAATTTGATCCAAGTAGGGCTGACAGTTACTTGGGAATAAACCTGCTCCAAAACCTTCATCTGGAAAGTGTAGGTCAGATCCAGCATCCAAAGCAAGTCTGTTAGTGTCCATCCCTAGATACATCATCCATGCAAGTTTGGACCGTGCAGAGCTTATAGTTACTTAGGAATGAACCTGCTCCAAAAAAATTAATCTGGTGACTCATCTGGAAAATGTAGGTCAGATCCAGCATCCAAGCAAGTGTAGTAGTGCCCATCTCTAGCTGCATCAGCCATGCATGTTTGGACCGTGTAGGGCTAATAGTTCCTTGGGAATGGACCTGCTCCAAAAATTTAACCTGGTCGCGCATCTGGAAAATGTAGGTCAGATCCAGCATAAGCATGTCTGGTAGTGTCCATTCTTGGATGCATCAGGTAGGCTTATACATGTAGTTACTTGGGAATGAACCTACTCCTCAAACTTTAATCAGAACGCTGACACCAAAGCCAGGGGTATAGCATAAGCTCATCTCGACTTCCCCCAAGGTGAAATAACAAAAACTAGAAATATGTCCATAGGACATGCCCTACTAAGGTTATAACAGTACATGTGTAATGCAACATGAAAATTCGAATCTGTGTATGGAATTTCAGAATATCTTGAATAGTGATGCTGTTGAATTGCTTACATCAGTATCGGCTTATAAAGTTTAAACTAATTTAAGAAAAGTGAGGTCAAGGTCAGAGGTAAGGTCAAAGTAAAACAAATGTTGATGCAGTTGAAAAGCTCTCATCAGTATGTGTCAGCATATGTAGTCGAAAAAATATTAATGATTTCTTTAAAACTGACTTAATCACAAATTGATAAAAGTGAGGTCAAGGTCAAATGAAAGGTCAAGGTCAAAAATATTGATGCAGATAAATTGCTTACATCCGTATAGTGTGTGTATCAGCATATGAAGTTTGACACAAAGAAGATGGGCGCATTTGGCGTGTGATCTGCAGGAATAATTCGTACGAAACATTTATGGTTTAAATGTGGTTGATTTGGTTGGCTGAACATAGATGTTCAGATTTAATTTACAAACACGTCCATGGGTTTTTTTCATTTAGTTTGAAAGACTGTGAGATTTTAACATTTATGTCCGTTTTTCCTAGGGAGTATTATAACAGTAATGTTTCACAAAAAATAAATACCTTAATATTTAATGGGTGCATGATACGTGTGTGTACATTAAAAAATAGAAGATTGGAATTGATTTCGTTCGAGAACCAAAATGAATCAAAATTTATCTCATTCAAAATTTTAATACATCAGTAATACAACAAAACTAACAAAATAAATGGTTGTTTGCATGAAAAAACTAGATGCTGTCATGAGACAGTAATACCCGCACTATGGTGCTTGCCTCTAAATACACACTCCTTCATATTGGACTTTCCAAGGAAGAAGTCAAAATAATTCTATAATTATCACCGTACGTGTATTCGTCAAATTGAACATAAAATTTTCAGATGACCATATGATCTATGAGCCTCACATATGTATTTTGAATACTTAATTCATTACCAGTCTGAAATAACAGAATTTAATTAATGATTGAAGTAAATTACTTAATTAGATTCAGATAAATATTTTGCCCATAATTTGGAACTTTTTAAATTTACTTTCTCGACGACATAAATATTATTTTAGTACAAAGCGTTTTTGGTGAATTTATCAAAATGTGCAAACTGATTTTAGTACTTGGTCGGGAAAAAAAACCCATCGAAAATACAACCAGATTAATTTGTCAATGCCTATCTCTCTCTCTCTCCGCCCCCCCCCCCCCCCCCCACACACGCTCTCTCACTCTCACATTTTTAAAGAATAGACCTAGATGTCAAAGTTATGTTGATACATAGTTTATTATGATAGTTTGAAATTTGTTCTTGTACTAAACAGTTTTACGTGTGAACATCTTATTTTCTACATTCACATTGGGTTTGCGTCACCCATTATCATATTTATAGATATCACCTCTAGGCACACCTCGGCCAATTCATACTGGCAACGGAATCAGCAAAGGTTTGTCGAATGAGATTATTTAGCACATGTATGCTGACGATGCAGTGTGGTCAGTTAAAATCATTTGTGTTTTAATTGGATTATATGGATTATATTTCATGAATTCGTTGTCACGACCTATGACATTCGGTAAGTACAAGATTTAGTATAGATTGCATAAAAATAAATAAATGCAAATGGTAAGGTTGAAGTTCAAAAAGGGTCAAAGATCATCGCATGCCACAGTCGACAAATTTCATATTGTCAAGTTATCTCCCGGCCGTTGCGGACAATCAGTATATACAGACGCAGATCCAGAATTTTTTTTTCAGAAAGGGGGGGGGGGGGGGTCACACCTCAGTCAAAAAAATCAGCCCAAGATTTCCTGAGAAGCAAATAAAAAATAATAATAAAAACAATGATGGTGAAGTCCCTGTTTTCTAAGAGGGGAGGATGTCCAAAGTCATTTTTATTCTCTACAGTACATAGTCTTATTTAAATAACTGCTAATTCCAGAGGGGGGGTGGGTGTCTGATCTCCCTAGCCACTGACTCCCTGTACCTGAAATGACAATTGATCTTATGACTCCATAATAGTAGGAAATTTTTTCATTTGACTACATATTTTGTTTCCTATGTTGATGTATGTTTGTCTGACCACGGAAACTTTAACCTTGCCCATATTTTTTAAGTGGATTGGGCTATACACATGGCTTCAATATTTCATAGGTAAATTTCTTTTGGCAAAACCTTTTAATGGGTACCACCAATTTTGACCTCTTGATCTCTTGACCTTGGAGTTTGACCCACTTTTACAAGAAAAATACCTTAAACTTGGCCTAAGTTTTGAACAGGTGGTGCTAGGACTTTCATGCTCTAACATGTGTAATCATTGTGAACTTTCAACAGGTATAATTATTTTTGACCTAGACCTTAGAGTTGAACCCAATTTAACTTTAACCTTGGCAATAAATTTTGAACAGGTGAGGAAGTTCTAGG